GAATTGTCTACTAAATTTGCTACAAAAGAAGTCCAATACTTGTATAGATATATACATAAGTGAGTTTCTGTATTATTCATTGGAATGCGAAGTGAATTTTAATTCAAAGTGATTACATTAAAAAGTGTACAAGTCTGAAAGCCCAAATGTTGAACTAATTCAACGATTTCAGAAGTTTTGGCCGAAAATAAACGTTGATAACTTTACAGTCGGCTTAGAAAATGAAAAAGTAAGAAAATCGTTAAATATGGATGATGTGTTACGAATTACAAGTTTCCTTTATAAGATTCGTAAGGATAACCAACCAAGAGATGATTATAGGGAACTTCTGGAACTTGCATTAATGTTTTTAGGAGAAAAGCCGAACTGTACCATAAAGTTTCGACCTCCTGGAGCTATACATCATGCAAGATGGATGGTGAAAGTTATGCATGTATTAAAAATATTTTTATTTAGGAAAGAGTTCAAATTATCTACAGAAGAAGAAAATGCTCTTTGCGATATATGTATATTTATTACTAAAGTGTATGTCGAAGTATGGTTTAATGCTTTGTCATCAGTCAAAGCTCATTTTCAAGATTTTAATCTTCTTTCTATTCTCAGTCAATATCAAAAATTTGTATTTGGTATTTACGCTCAAAGCTTGTTCATTTTGCTTTTTTGGATTTAAATATATCACCTGAGACAAAGAAAAAGATGGTTTCAAATTTGAATATAGATAGTGATGACAAGGAAGCTCCTGACTTCAATAGATCGCGCAAAAATAACTGAAGGTAATAAGGATACTTTGCTTCAGCAACTTTAACTAAAATAATAAAAATTATGTCGGACAAACCTAGAATTAGTACTTTTTTATTATTAGAAAGATTAAATTTTGGAAATATTGAATTTATTTTAAATTTTTTAGAAATATTAAATTTTTTGTAAAGCTGAAGCGGACAATTACATTCATAGTACTTTCAAAGCTAGCAATCGGGTGACTTCAACTTATTTTTTGTTTTATTCAATAACTATTAGAAATACAGAAAAACTTTGTATGAGTAAATTATTTACTTTTAATAGATCTATAACTTTTAGGAAGACAGTTTTTATGTAAAATTAAATATGTCGGAGATATAAGCAATCAAAGATGAATTTTATGGAAAAAATCGTTATTTTTCAATCTTTGAGGCTCTTGGGGCACCATTTCCACTTATCCCATTGAACTAAAATTTTACACAGATTATTTTTTTAGTAAAATGAACCGATCTGGGGGGTGCCGCGAGCAATTTTTCGACTTTCGAAAATTAATGGCACCCTAATCTACATATTGATTGTTAATTTAAATACAATATTTAAAACATTGCCATATTGTTTCTTTGTTAAATTTTTTTCTTTATTGAATAAAAATTTATAAGGCCACCCATACTGCCCGATAGGGACAAATCTTGAAGCATAATAAAAATTTGTTTACATATTCACAACATTCTTTCTGAGGTCCCCTGTCCTAAAATGTTTGTTCCACAGCACTACTATAAGCATTAAATATAACATCTGTTCCATTTAACGGCAAAGTAGTTTACTAGTCCAGAGTAGAGTTCTCCTGAAATAGTTAACAATAGTCACAATATTTCCCCGCCACTTTCACCCTACTTATATTCGCTACACTAATTAAAAACGAGCTCTGAAATTGATTCTAAAATAGGTTTGAACTAGTTCTGCTCGTATTCGGTTTTACGGAGTATCCGGAGAATCCGATTAATCGGATAATAAACAAAGCGTACGATTTTTCAAATATCCAGATTTGCGGTTATTATTCGCAGTGAAATTATTCGGAGACTTCGGGAGCAAAAGTTATAGGGAGAGCACAATATGCAAACGAACGTGCATCACACAAGGTTTTGTTTGGTATATTACATGTTTTATTTTATTTATACCTATTTTAAGTATTAACCTAAAAAGAAGATTTGCTGAGTGTTTACTCAGACTTTTCAAAGTTTTCAATTTCTTGATTTTGGTACCGAGTTCGATCAAATTGAAACATTAGTATTACTTGACAATAAATTAATACATAACGTATTATTAAATTATGTTGTAAAAGAATTACCCGTATGATCAAATTCATAGACAATTTGTTCCTGAATTTTTAACGAATTTTTTATCGAACTCATTAAAAATTTGTACATCATACGATATATAGTATATACAAATAAAATACAATTCGCTATATTATATCATTTTTGAACCAATATAACTTTTTAAACTTCTTTATTACTATTATATATAGTATAGCATGTTCATGTTTTAATATACATATATTAGAAACATAAAAAAAAGATGGATCGACACAAGAATGAAATAACATCCATGCATGTTTTACAGACCCATTATCGCTTCCAACAAGCAACAATGCGAAAAACATATCCACTGCAAAGGTGTTCAGATTCTTCACTGCAGATTACACTTCATCCCTTCTTCGCGCGAAAGTCTTGTTGCATTTTGTAAAATCGTGTTTATAGGAAATCGGAGTTTATTGGTTTTCAGGAATATAGTATGTATATGAAAGTAAGGAATAATACTAATACTAAATTAATACTAAATTACAAAATTAATGTGGTAAATTGCATATGACCTATAGTCTTCTATCCGCCCACAGCTAGCTACTATTTAGTCCACCAGTAGTCATACCTCTATCTTTCTCTCTCTCTCTCTCACTATATCTTATTAATAATAATCAGTGTAAATAGAATATAGTAACATTAATTAAAACAAATATTGCTTTCCACCTTGCTTTGGAGTCATGCAATTTCATCTCCACAACTTGCCAAATTACCAAGGAATGCTTATAATTTAGCAGAGTAGAGTTAAATGTAAAAAAATTTACTTAAATGACTTGATGCTGATCAGATATTTTGCCCAACTGTGTGAATTCTGTAAATGGCTAAGTCCTTTAAAAATTAAAATAACACATACTCTATTTACCACATATCACATACTATTTTATACATATATCTATAAATAAATATGTATATATGTACATATACATAGAGACAATTTGTGGATACATAAAAACAAAATAAGTAGAAAGAAATCATTTGACATAATGGACTTAGTATTTTGATATAACATAAAATGATGATGATACTTGAATATTTAAATATTTCCGGTTAATATGCATAAATAGATTTATAAATAAGTCTTTTATCATTAAAAAAAAAATAGAACCATTAGAGATGTTTGTAAAAAACTTGTATCGATTCAACTTTGAAAGATGAGTGTTCGTGTTTTTAAGGTTGAGTTGATTGGGTTTATTTTATTGAAAATTATAGTAGATTTATATATATATTCATATTATTAACAGAATTTTATAGAATTAATTTTCCGTTAACAAGTTTATAAAATAATAATTCATATTGCACAATAAGATGTCTAAGTATCTAAGTAGTTTCGCCAAATTATTTTATAGTTTCGTTATAAGTGTTATTAAAATTATTTTCTGAAAAAAAAAATTTGATTGGTAAATTAATTTTTATACGTATTTGAATATCAACTATATTAAACTATATATACATCCAAATTAATATAGACTTTAGTATTAAGGCATTAAATGTCCAAACAAAAAATCTGAAAACTCTGCCAATCTTAGTTCAATTTCTTATTGTTTTACTATTTTTTAAAAATTCTTTTCATACTCAAAATTTAAACAAAAAAGATTCCAAACACATATAGTATATAATCAACCATATATGTGTAGTATTTGGCACATTTTCCATGAAATTTGAATCATAATATATTAATATTAAATTCAGTCTAAATAAGATCAGATCCGCAACTTTCTGTCATTTTTTAACCATAACTAATTTTTCTTTATTGTAGAACTCAAAGGTTTTATCTTTGTAAATCTAACATTGGTGTTTTTCCTACTAAAGCAATTTTGCATAACAAAAAGAGAGAAACAAACATAGCTATACGGAACTGTATATTTATTTTAAACGGGAAGATGAGTATAGCCTATATACCTCTTTCCTTTCCTCTTTGTCAGTTATATCTAATTTCAGAATTAAGGCAAGGTACCTATTTTGAGGGTTGATTGCAGTAGAGTACCTTCACAATATAAAATATCATTATCTAATATAAAAAAATAAAATATCCAAAGCACTAAAGGACCATTTTAGAAGGACTTTAATCCCATATGTATACACCAGTACTTGTTGTTGGCGTACTAATAGATCATTATGCATTAGGCAATTATTTAAAGAAAGTCTTGCTCTTCAATAACAATTGTAGTAGTTATTGGAGTATATAAAGAATAGTTCATAATATAAAATATATCTTAACCATGATCCGCTTATACTTATCTAAGACGTATTTTTTTCATTCTGTTTTGGGATGAATAACTAACGATCTCTATAAAAATCTTTAAATTAATTATTTTCTTTTATTTATTAAAAATTATTTTTATTTATATAAATTTATACTTTTAATGTATATACAAAAATAAATAAATGATAATGATACTAGTATAGTTAAAGTTTAGTGTGGGGCAGGGATAAGCCCCTCAGCCACAATAGAGTAAAAGTGCGCAATACCACTAACTCAAATCACAACAACAACAGCAACAATTTTATGTATTAAAGAAAAACTATATTTTTTTTTTAATTTGACTAAATTAATTAAAAGGAAGTAAAATTTAAATTAAATATATACAATAATTGTTTATCATTCTAAACAAATTATTTGAATTCTTTAAAATGTAAAGTTTAATATAAAATACTTAAAAAATTATAAAAATGCCATTTAGTATGTTTCTATTTGTTGTTGTATAACTAGAATTCATATTTATATTCAAACAAAACTTGGGTGGCATTACCTCAGACCGTATTATGCGGTCCTTTTCACTACTGCTTACTATCAATAGTTATTACACAGGATAAAAATCTTGTTAATTGTTAATCTTGTTATCAACAATTCCGCTTAGGCAAATAAATATATTTATTGGGAATAATTATAGTAAAAACATATTGAAAATTTGATTGTGAATAATTTTTATTTTTGTCGTGAAATATTTAAATAAAAAAATATTTCTTGACAATAATTATTATGAAGATATGAAATAAATTTTATAAGTTGATATATATTTCTTAAAATGAAATTCTTGAATTTATTAATATTAAGCAATTTTTATTTTTACTGGACTAGAATAGTCTCAAGTTCACTTATTTAATAAGTGCTTATGTTATGAAAGGTTTGAAGAAATTTGTTGGTTTTGTATTTTTAATTTATGTTTTATATATAATATCTTTATAAATATCTTCTAACACAACTGATTGTCGTAGCTGATTGCGAACACATGAAAAGGAATTATGAATGTAGGTAGATAGTAATCTGCCTACATACGTACCTAAAAATATTAAAAATTAAAATATAATTTTTAATAATAAAAGAATAATTTTGATCTATTGTTACAGATCATTTTTAAAATTAGTTAGAAAAATTACAGAATATAACATAGTGTAAACAATTACAATCAATTGATTTATGTATATAGTAAACGGAAACACCATTGCATGATGAATTAATGTTGTTTTGATTTTGTGATTTATTTTGCTGAAATCAATTTCAAATATAGATTAAGTTTAACAAAAAAATTTTATGTTTCTGTCACTGAAAAAAATTCCAGAATGTCACTTTAAATAATATTTATAACGGTATTTGCTAATATGATAAAACATGGTTCCTAAAAAAATATGGTAACATTTAAATTAAATCAATTAAATTTGAGAATGTCAGCTAGCTACGGACGGCTAGATGGCACTAATATGACTTTTAAAACGTCAAACTTCATCAAAAAATTGTGTTTTATCAGTTGTCGGCTGTTATTTTTTTATTAACCTTTAATGACGAGATAATTGTTAATTATTATTTTTAGTTGTGTCCAGACGAGCTTTGTTAAATGTTTTTAGTATTGTATAAGTTTTTGAATTTGTACCAAATTAAAAGAAAGCTTTAAGCAAAACAAAGTAGTTGTACCACATCATCATAGAAATGGAAGTTCACGATGACATGTACTTGTAAGTATCATTCAAGGTTCAAAAGCTAGTGCTTATTTATTAATTGCACTTGAGATATTGATTTTTTTTTTGTTTTTGCAGATATGTAACGCCGGAACATTTTTATATTGAACCCAACACTAAAAGTGAATTATTGGTCATTGATAGATTATCAAGTATATCAAAAGTGCAATGTAAGTATAGAAAAACCTACATTTGCAACCACTTAAACTAGATTAGATGGTTTATGAGACAAATCGGTTTAGTACTTTCTATCAGGACAGTTTAGTAACTTAATCGAAGTTCAGTAACTGTAAGAAAAATACAAAAAGTTTACAATTTATATTCGAAAAATATGAAGCAAAGAAATACTCTAAACATTTTCAATAAACTTTAAATATCAAAAGATTTCATTTTGCAAATGATGAAAATGTTTTATGAAAGGGATTTTAAACTATCATTTTTATATTGAATGTATTTTTATAATAACTCGTATATACTTAAAAAAATTTTTTTTTAAAGAAATACTCAATAAGTAAATTTTTATATAGATTCCCAGTTTAATAACCAAAATCCAACGCGACGGATATGTGGTGTTTTGGGCACTATACACTTAATTGGTGGAGATTACCTCATTATCGCAACACATAGACTCTTCGTCGGGCTTTTGAATGGTATGACAATATGGAGGCTAGCAGGTTATGATATTTTACCATACATTCCAACTAATACACATTTAACGTTAAAACAACGCGAACAAAATGAAATATATTTACGTATGATGCGGAAAACTCTTGACACAAATTATTTTTACTTTTCTTACGCATACGACTTATCCCATACACTCCAAAGATTGTATGATATGCCACCAGACTCTTTACAAGTAAGGTGCTTTTAACAATTTTATATTGCTAAAAATATAAAATATATATATTCTATATCTAGAATGGTGTACTGGAACGGGCAGATCAAAGATTTATATGGAATGCTTATTTGCTGAAAAATTTCAATTGCTCCGAAATGAGAAAATTTCAACTACCATTATTATTGGGTTGTAAGTTGGTTCCCCATTATTTTATGGCACATAATTTAATGTGTTTGATTTATTTTAGTCGTTTCCATCAACCAAGTTCAAGTTAATGGTCAAACGTTTCATTGGTCAATTGTATCCCGTCGATCAACGCACCGAGCAGGCACAAGATTTTTCTGTCGTGGTATTAACGATCTTGGGCAAGTGGCAAATTTTGTAGAAACTGAACAAATCATTGAATTCAGTGGACAACGTATTTCATTTGTGCAGGTTTGCTTAGTATTAATTGTATAAATATTAGATTCTAAACTTTTATAAATCGTAGACTCGTGGTAGTATGCCGTTCTTCTGGCGACAATTACCCAATCTGCGTTACAAACCTAGACCTGAACTTATACCTGGAAAGGATCACCTTTTAGCGTTTTCAAAGCATTTTGATGAACAAATCATGTTATATGGCAGACAAGTTTTAATCAATTTAGTACTATATACAACACATGATATCACTATAAATGAACTCACTAATCATTATCATTAAAAATTAAAGGTTGATCAAAAAGGACATGAAGGTGCTTTGGAGAATGCCTATCGAAACTTCACACAACAATTGGATAATTCCAACATACGTTACGAAGCGTTCGACTTTCATGCGGAATGCAAAAAAATGCGTTGGGATCGGCTTAATATACTTATTGATAGAGTGGCACACGAACAAGAAGAATTTGCAGTATTTCATTTGCGTGATGATGGGGGTCTTATTTCGGCGCAAGAAGGAGTTTTTCGTACAAATTGCATTGATTGCTTAGATCGCACAAATGTTGTGCAAAGTATGTTGGCAAAACGATCTTTGAATCATGTACTTCAAAAACTTGGCATACTAAGCATTGGGCAAAAAGTTGAAAACGCTTCTCCACAGTTTGAAGCGTTGTTCAAAGCAGTAAGTAAATATTAAGTATTAAGCTGTAAATCTACTAATATGCATTAATTATATTGATTGTAGGTTTGGGCTGATAATGCAGATCTTATTTCATTACAATATTCTGGAACTGGTGCCTTAAAAACCGATTTCACACGCACTGGAAAACGTACTAAAGCTGGTCTTCTACAAGATGGATCCAATTCTTTGACACGTTACTATTATAATAACTTTTCTGATGGTTTTAGACAGGTGCGTATTTTTCAATGTGCTGTTTTACTGTATTAAAGTTTTCTACCGAAGCTTACAAATTGTTAGAATGTAGTTTGTATAAACTATATACAAAATAGAATTTTCCAAAACTTACAAAAATATTTAATTTTTAATAAAAATTAAACGAAAGAAGTTTATCATCAATTTATAACCAAAACTCAATTATATATATGAACCCGTCAAATGAGAAGCAATGTCTTCGTATGTTTTAACCGAACAAGCCAAAGCTCCATAAAACGTTCGTTGTTAAAATTGCACGTTTTTTTTATTACTTTTATCTTTTTGTCTCAAAAGATAACAACCAAATATAGAAATTGCAATAAACTATTATAATTTTTTAATCTTAACAGGTTTTTTGAATTATTATGCTAATTGATTATGTGTATAGCATGAAATTGCATTTAATTAATAACATAAATATCAATTTTTATTTTAATAGGATAGCATCGATTTATTCCTCGGCAATTATAGTGTTAACGACAGTGAAGGGAATTTAATACCATCACCGCTTGTAGTCAAAAAAGGCTGGCGTTATAATACGGTATGTATTAGGACTTCTTAAATGTTAGAAAAAAAATGTCTAAAAGAAAAATTTTTTGTTTGAAACAGTTCCCATCTGTGTTTGTATTCGCAGTCGCAATGTTCTTCATATCTGCCGTTTTTCCTGCAGAATTCGATACAGAAAGCCTATTATTTATTCTATTTTGGGGTGCAATGATTGGTGTCAGTACTAGTGGCATACTACATTATGGTATTGAGTTCGTTGATTGGCCGCGGTTATTTCCTCCCATCAAAATTGAAGCATAGCATAACTGACTCGACGGACATTTTTTGTGTTTAATACCAAGTACGCAAAGTAATAAGTAGTAGCAAAAATTATATTTATGTTAAGAAAATGTTTACACACGAAAGCTCATTCAAATAATTAAATTGTAGTTAACAAACAAATCTAAATTTCTTTCTAATGCTTCATTTGAAAAGGTAATCAATCTTATGTACGAGTATTTTACACTAAATTGCAAAACATTTTATGTAGTAAAACGTTTTCTAAGCTACGAATATACTGTACCGCACACATACAGAAACGAATATACTGTACGAAATTAATAAAAAAAATTAATCCCAGATTAAA